CTAAACCCCCTTGAAAAAAATTAGAAAGAAGTGAAACACTCAAAATGAGTTGAAAAAGTATAGCCATGAAGAATAAAAAAGAAGTAGCTAAAGGGAAGATTGAACCTAAATGAACAAAACTTATCCTACCTTCACCCAAAAGCCTTCACAAAGACTCCTCAAAAGCCCATATGATCTTGAGTTGAGGGAAACCTACATTAGTGGATACTTATATAAAGGGCAAGCATATGGTACCTAAAGCTGGACTTATGACCTTCTTTGTGAGAGAAATGAGTGAAAACAAAAATCCATCAACCTCGGGTTGTGTGTCAATACTCTAAAAAGTGAGGTTCGCTTAGGGAGAGTTGAGGATGTGTGAGTTTGGGTCCCACAAAGACCAAGGTAGTTGAGAAAAGCGCCTTGATGAAATGAGTCAACCCTTGATGCTCTCGTGTCACATTTGAACCATAGTTCTTAAAAGATTAAAAATGTGTTAATGATGCATTCGTATTGAGGGCAATTGTTAGTCCCAATTGATGCGTGATGAGGCTTCCTTAGGATAAGCTGGAATTACTTGGATGTTTCCCTTTGAGGGGTGGGTCTTGTTTTACTTGCTTGAGGACAAGCAAAGGTTTAAGTTTGGGGGAGTTGATAACTGTGATTTTAACACGTTTTATGCCCATACTTGCCTATGCTTTATGTATGATTTGCCATAAAATAAACTCAGAATACTTATAAGTTGCGCTTGATTGCAGGTTTGAGCAACAAGATGACGAAAGTCAAAAATCGGCTCGAAACGGAGTGAAACTTGCTCAAGTGTCAAAGATCATGAAAGCAAGGATATTCAGAACTTGGTGCGGACCGCACCATCATGTCATGCGGCCGCACCATAGGAGTTCAGAGAGTTGGCATTCTCAGTTCCAGCCAATGCGGTCGCACTACAAGTTCACGCGGTCCGCACCACAAAAGTCCAGAGACCATCACAAGCCACTCATGCGGCCGCACTACAAGTTCACGCGGTCCGCACCACAAAAGTCCAGAGACCATCACAAGCCACTCATGCGGCCGCACTACAAGTTCACGCGGTCCGCGCCAGTCATCATGCGGCCGCACTTCATCATTGTGCGTCCGCATCAACATCTTCAGAAGGCAAGTCTCAGAAGTCAAGCAACCCAGTGCGGCCGCGTGTCAACTTCGTGCAGACCGCACGGACCCCGCAGGGGTATTTTTGTCCGGTTTTTCTTAACTTAGTATAAATAGAATATTTGCCATTTTTAGGGCACGAATTAGATACGACAGAGCTGCTGCACTCGTGAGACAAAAGTTTTAGCCTATTTTGGGCATTTTCATCTTGTTTAACGAAGATTCTTGTAGATTTACATTCTAGTTAATTAATATGTTCATTTTATCTACTTCTTCTTCAATTTCTGTTGTTATTATGGATAGCTAAACCCATAAGCTAGGGTTGTGGCTCAATCCTAGTGTGGGTAATTAATGGGTATGATTGTTTAATGCTTGAATGATGTTGGGTGTTTGATATTTGGGGTTAATTTTATGTTTTCACTTGGATTTGGTGGTTGCAAACACTAAGTCTAGCTTTGTGGGTCTTGACTCTTCTTGAGATAGAGTGTCTATGACTCCAAAATTAACCCAACAAGGAATTGGGATGGATCTATGAGAATGATAGTCCCAATTAACGGGTAAAACCTCGAGAGAGCAATTACCCAACTTGAACCCTAAGTTGCTTGGTTTGTTAGCCTACCCAATTGGTCTCGAGAGAGTCAATTGAGCAAAATCATTCTTTCTACCGAGAGGTGTGAGAGTGAGTGCTATCGTGCAACGGTTATATCATAAGCCCCATAATCATCATTCTCATATTAGGAATCTCCACCCGTTAGTTGACCACCTAGGTAAATGCCACGACCCTAGTGCCTTTTTCTATCTTGCATACAACCTAGACTTAATATCTTAGCATAATTTAGTTATAATTAGTAGTTGTTAAATTGTAGTTGATAATCACAAAAAAACCAAAAATGATAGAAGATCAATTAGAAGCAAACTCACATTTCTAGGCTAAACAAATATCCAACTCCCTTCCTAGCTCCCTGTGGAAATTGACCCCGATACCACTATTGGGTAAAAGTATTAGCGCCCACTCTTCCAAAGGTTGAGTCCGCTGCGACCTAATCAAACTCCTACGTCTTTCATATCAAACTTACTAGTAAGCATGCGCTTGGTAGCATTTATGTTAGCAATGTCATTACTCAGTATCAACATATCATCCACATAGAAACAAACAATGACTATTTGATTTGGAGTATTCTTAACGTAAAGACATTTGTCACACTCATTGATTTGAAACCATTTGACAACATTGTTTGGTCGAATTTCGCATGTCATTGTTTTGATGTTTGTTTTAGTCCGTAAAGTGACTTAACAAGTCGACACACCTTCTTTTCTTTTTCGGGAACTACAAACCCTTGTAGTCGCCAGAATATGCATTGGTATGTATGTCCCTAAAAGAAAAACCTGATAAATAATCGAAAAAATCGAAAAACATACAAAAACTAAATCGATAAAACTGACTTAATTGGTTTGGTTTCAATATTTGAAAAACCGTCATATTTGGTTTAGTTTCTTTTTTTTTAAAAACGATCTAAATCGAACTATGAACACCGTACTCATCGATTAGAAGCTAGGTTGATATGATAATATAAAAAAAAAAAAAAAAGAAGAAGAAGAAGATTTTGACTTACAAAAGAAAGAAGATATGCAGGTACAATTGGTCGAAATATAATAAAAAATGTAATCAGCAAATGCATAAGATGTGGCAGTGATTCCACGTGTCAAACATCGGCAGAAGGATAATTCAGTAATCATTCTACAACCGATCTGCTCTCTGCAGTGAATCCTTCTCTTGCTATCCCAATCTTCGAGACTCCGACCACTTAAAAAATTGGTGGAAGTTTCTCAATATTTTTAAAATGAGAGTTGTATATTTAATTACTTAATTTGCATAATAATTTAGCACATATTATTTTGTTAAAATATCATGGTATAGTCAGTTTCCACACTGGTCAATGAAAAATAGCCAGCGTTTACCAAGTCAATGAAAAATAGCCACTATTTTGCTGCAACAGGGACCGGTCCAGTATAATATACGAGAGTTCTGGTGCATTTGTGTACGAACTCCAGCATATTATGCTGGACCGGTATACTTTGCTAACTCCTTTAAAATTTGCGGGAGACTGGAGCACCAGTGCTCCAAACTCCAGTATATTATACTGGACAATTATACTTGCTGGAACTCCCGTAAAATTTGCGGGAGTTCCAGCATATTTATGCTTGAACTCCCGTAAAATTTGCGGGAGTTCCAGCATAGTTATCCTGGAACTCCCGTAAAATTTACGGGAGTTCCAACATACTTATGCTGGAACTCCCGTAAAATTTGCGGGCGTATTTTTCCGGATTTTGAACAGTATTTTCGCTCAGATTTAAAGTGGCTAAATTTCGATGACTTTTGAAACTTGGCTATTTTTCAACGACCAGTAGTAAATCTGGCTATTTTTTAATTTCNTCCTATTATTTTACTGCAAACATTTGGAAGTAAGTTTTTCTAATAAAACATAGACAACTAAATTCAATCTTCGAAACCTCGTAATACACAAATATTACAAGCATGTGAGTACCTCAACAAACTAATCCACGCTCGATTAATATTTCAAACTTGTCTCAATATGATACTAGTAGTTCGTTAGATGGATTAGCAAAAAAGAAAAAAAGGAGAAGTATTTCGAAAAGGATAATTCACCAATTTAGTACGCTCCTCACCTCAATGCCACAATGTCGGTTACGAAATCGTCGAATTCAGTAGTTTTGATTCAAATTGTATATTTTTTTTAAATCATAAATTTATAAAAATTATAATTTAAAGCCCAATAACTTAAAAAAAATTAAAATTCCAAACTCATATGCTTGAAATCGTAGCTCCGCCTCTGACTGCACTTATATGGCTAATTTTTGATAAGAAAAGTTACATCCATTATTTGCATTGACCTTGAGGCTAACTCGAGTTTACCCTACACTCATTCTAATTTGACTAAAATAATATCTTAACAATGATTCAGAAAATATTAAAATTATTGAAATTGATTTGATAAATTAAATATCATGTCACTATTTAAACTTAAATAAATAAAAGAGCAAAAAGGCGAAATCAGAGAACATAAAACATTTCCATTTATAGCTTGGGGAGCAAGAAATTCGGAACCAGTTAAATTTACCGTTTTAACACTAATACCCAGTTTTCGAAGAAGACATTTAAGTTCCAGAGCTAAGTCATTGGCGGACCCGAGGTTCGGTCAACTGCGGGCCATACTAAACCTGTGGTTCGGCACATAGTTAAACGTAAATGCTCATCCGAACCTAAAAGGCTCGGATCCAAGCCTCATTAGATAAATTTCCCGCTCATTCACACTCCAGTCCAGTCCAGCTTGCTTAATCCAGTGGAGAAAAGGGGAAAGTATTGGATACAAATAGAGAAACTGAGGAACCATAGCTTCTCTCTTGTTCTCACTTCTCCGTCTACATTTTATCAATCTATATCACGCTCGGAAGATTAACATTGACACTCAGATTAAGGGATATTTCTTGAAAAATCTTATATTTTTTTCTCTTCAAAATCAGTTATGGGAAGGTGAGGATGAATCTTTGTGAATGAAACTTGAAATTTCGTGTTTGTTAGGCAAAGTTTTGTTCTGGGTTTTATCGAGTATGATCGAAGATGGTCTAAAAATCGATTTTTTTTTTTTTTAAGATTTTGGGGGTTTCAACCTTTTGGATGATCATTGTAGCTTCTGTTCTAAGATTTGTGTTTGTTCCTGAGATAATGCTGAATAGTGCTGTAGGGATTTAAGATGTGGGTTTTCGGGGGTTTGATTTTTATTTTTTCGTTTTGGAATTAGTGGGCTCTGTAGCGGCTTGTGTGTGTGGGTAAGAGGGAAAAAAACAAAATTAGTGACAGTATAGAATGCGAAAGGAAATTGAGTTATATGAATATCTAATGGGGTATATAATGATATTCCAAGGGATTTGTAAAGATTTGGACCACTTAATCTGTTGCCTTTGGGTTAGAAGATCAGATTATTTAACAATCTTGAAGATACGAATGTTTGTATTGCTTTAATTAAGTGTGTTTAGTGTTTGATGGATTACACAAGACACTAATTTCTCTTAGTAGTGTTAGTTCATAAAAAGTGTTGTCGTGTGACCAGAAGTTCACGGGTTCTCTTGCAGAAATGTAGGGTAAGGCTGCGTACAATAGACCTTTATGGTCCGGCCCTTTCCCGGACCGCGCATAACCGGAGCTTAGTGCACCGGGCTGCCCTTTAGTGTCCGTTCATAAAAAGGTGCCCTTTTGTTTACAAAACCATATGTGTGCTTTTACGGGCTAGTTGCTAGAGCTGCCTGTTAGTTTAGTGTTGATCTGAAGTCCCAGTTTGTTAAGCCCATTGTCGTTGAACTTAGATGAAATTTTCATCAATCTTTGCAATTGCCACAATTTTTTGTTGGTCACCAGATTCCAAGGGTGTCTCTTTTTGTGTATATTGTTGCTTGACCTATGCATTGGGCGCAATGCTACAGCGAATGTTAATAATCAACATTGGCCTAAGTCTAAACTGATAGTGATGCAGAACAATGATTAAATGTTTTAACAGTGATAAGTGCGCTTACAGTTAATTTGTTTATCTTTTTTAAGGCTGCAAAGAAAGTTTTTGATTTTGTTATATGAGGTTCTGAATCTTTTCTTGTGACTTCCATAAGTAGATCAAACAGTCTCATCTGGTTTTTTACATTGATGCAGATCTTGGCTTATTGATGGCAGAGGACTAGCAAGAAAAATTAAAAATGCCAGTGCTCCTGCTGCACATCAAATAAAAGATTGTGGTGCAAAGCGGCAATGCCCAAACTGCCATTACTGTATTGATAACAACGATGTAAGCTAATAAGTTTCCTGCAGTAAAGTTTCTTCCTTTTCCTTTGGTTCAAGATTAGGCCAGCAAATACATTGTCATAAATTAGTTGCTCAATTCTGCTTTATTATTTTGCTGCTTTCCGGATTCAGGTTTCTCAGGAATGGCCTGGTCTACCTGTTGGTGTGAAATTTGATCCATCTGATGTAGAGCTCTTGGAGTACTTGGAAGAAAAGTGCGGGGTGGGAAATTCCAAGCAACACAAATTCATTGATGAGTTCATCCCGACTCTTGACGTTTACGAAGGGATTTGCTATACCCATCCTGAAAATCTTACTGGTTTGTAAAGCCTCTAATTCTTTGATACACCATCTTCTGTTTGCTTTTAGCTGCATTATTCAAGTCAATATAATATGCTGGTCGAAATAGATGGCATTGATACATTGAGTAAAAAGTGTGCTACTCTAAATCCTCCATCTTTAGATTGGAAAACACCCTTTCTTGTCATAGGATATGTCATTTTTACCATGGTCTGTGTATGGCTGCTGTCAGTAGCGGGGGGTGTAAAGAAGTAAATATACGAAGAAATCAAGGGGATTAAGCACATAGTATATATAAATAAAAAGATAATTTTTACCTATCGAAACAGTAGAATTTTTCGATGAAGGGATGCCAATGCTATGTGGCTCCGCCACCGGCTGTTGTTACTGCACAAGTGCACATAGCTGTTTTGTGTTTTCAGTGGGAAGGCTATATTCGGGAAAGGCTCACTTATTCGTGGTTTTCAGGGTTGCATTTACCTTATAAATGCCATCAACAACAACATACTCAGTGTAATCCCACAAGTGGGGTTTGGGGAGAGTAGTATGTACGCAGACCTTGTCCCGACCTCGTGGAGGTAGAGGCTTTCGAAAACCCTCGACTCAAGAACAAAATGAAAAGGAGCAGTAGCAATAAGTAGTAATACATCGATATATAAGCAATGGCGATATAGTAAAATAACTGAAGAAAAAAACAAATAACAGGTAGGGGTGTTCATAAAAACCCGAAAAATCGAACCAAATGGAAAACAAAACCAAACCGACCAAAAAAATCGATACTTTTTGGTTTGGTTTGGTTTTGGTTTTGAATTTTAAAAATGGTAGAATAGCTCGGTAGACACTTGTACTTGTACCGCTTTGACATCCCGGTCCCAGTACTTTGCAAAGTTTCATCTGAGCACTTGTACGTGTCCAAATAGAATATTTTAAACACCTCTGACCATTGACTGAGCTTATGTGGCATTTATATGGATGAGTTGGACAAAGCGCGTGTTTTGTACGCACATATGGTACGTGAATTCACGGAATTGGTAATTTTACTTCAAGGGAAATAAGAAAACGACAAAACCAAAAAATAAACAAAAAATAAAAGAAAGAAAAATATAATCCCCTCCCTTATCGTCCTTCTCTGTTTCTTCCCCTCCCTTTCTCTTTTCTTTATCAGATCCCACCCCTTCCCCTTTCCCTTTCTCTTTCTTTATTCTTTTCTTCATAAGATTTTCTGCTTTGTGCGTCCCTTCTTCCATCAATTCGTCTCCAACGATCTTCTTCCCCTTTCCCCTTTCTATTGTTCCACCATTTTTTGCGGTGGTTAAAGTTTCTAAATCAAATTTTTCTTCCACCAATACTCTCCAAAAACAAAAATATATTAAAATAAATAAATTTTGTTTGAATTTCAATACTTCTTAAATACTAAGCTTGTTGGGTGTATTTTCTGGCGAGTGAAGCATTTTAAAATTTTGAGCTTGATGGTTATCTTCTATGGCTACTATTTCTTGTCGCTGGCGGAAGAAGTGGTGTCGCGATGGTCACTAGTGGTTCTAAAAATGGGTAAGACTGAAAGTTGACGGTGAGGGGTGGAGTGATTGTGAATTTGTGTGTGAGTGTCAATTAAAATTTTGTAAATTCTGTCCGTTTGGAGAAAATATGTATATGAGCCATTGTTCTGGTGGGTTGACTGAAACATGATTTAAAGGACCCGAAAATGAGTGAGAAAACGTGAAACAGAGGGTTTTAACTTTAGTTTTTCAAATGGAATTTTTAATTGACAAAGATAAAAAATGACATGGCAAGTGATGTGGATCTGATGTGTCATTCCTATCAAGCAAGTGAGAAACACGTATCATAGTCAATGGTCAGAGGTGTTTAAAATACTCTTTTTGGACACGTACAAGTGCTTAGATGAAACTTCGCAAAGTAGTGGGACCGGGATGTCAAAGCGGTATAAGTACAAGTGTCTACCAGGCTATTCTGCCTTTAAAAATTGACCAAATTTGGTTTGGTTTTGGTTTTAATCAGAAAAAAAACCGACAAAAAATCGAACCAAACCGACTATAGGTATCTATTTTAAATTTATTATTACACCTATATATACGTATATTTTTATACAAAGTTTCAAAAATTTAATGGTAAATGTTAATATTTTGCACTTTTAGTATAGTTCTTTACCTTTACATTCTAGTTTGATTGGTAGTTTTCTTGTGTTAAGTGTAAGAATCCATTCGTGTTAAAAATAATATATTTTTAATTGAGTCCTTAAATTATTCATCACTATTTGATTCAATTATCATCAATATATCTTGGTAAATAATAGATTTCTCAAAGGGCAATTAATTTGATAGTGTGATGTTGAAAATGTGGTCGCCGGAATATGTGTTTGGTAGTGTATGTCTTATATTTACGAAAAAACCGAGAAAAACCCGAAAAACCGACAAAACCCGACATAACTGAATCGAGAAAAAACCAACTTAAATAGTTTGGTTTGGTTCTAATCTTTGAAAAACCGACTTGGTTTGGTTTTTTTTAGGGAAAAACCGATCCAAACCGAACCATGAACACCCCTATTAACAGGTAGGAATATAACTCTACGAAAAGGGAAAAAAAGAAAAAGACTACAAGACTAATACTACTGCCACTATGATGACAAAGGAATACACCCAAACTAACCTTCTACCCTAGTTCTCAACCTTGCACCCTCCTATCTAGGGTCATGTTCTCAGTAAGCTCAAGTTTTCATCATGTCCTGCCTAATAACCTCTCCCAATACTTTTTCGGCCTATCTTTACCTTTTCTCATGACCACCACAACCAATCTCTCACAACTCCTCACGGGGGCATCAACGCCTCTCCTCTTCACATGCCCGTACCATCTTAATCTCACTTCACGCATCTTCTCCTCCACGGGGGCCACTTCCACCCTGTCCCGAATAACTTCATTCCTAATCTAATCTCTCCTAGAATGCCCCCACATCCACCCAACATCCTTATCTTAGCTACTTTCATCTTTTGAATATGAGAGTTCTTGACTGGCCAACACTCTACACCATATAACATAGTTGGTCTAACCACCACTTTGTAAAACTTACTTTTAAGTTTATGCGACACATCGTTATCACTCAAAACATCAGATGCGAGCCTCCATTTTATCCACTTTGCTGCAATACGATGTGTAACATCCCCGCCAATCTCCCCATTCCCTTGAATTACTGATGCTACCACGTCTGTATCACGATTCCCGTTACAAAACTTGCACTCCAAGTACTTGTGGCCCTGCTAAACTTGAAATCTTTTGACTCCAGTGTCTGCCTCTAAACCTCTAGCCTCGCATTACGCGTCTCATCAATCGAGACAATATTGTCTGCAAATAACATGCACCTAAGTACTTCCCCTTGAATGTGACGCGTAAGTACTTCCATTGTCAAAGTAAATAAAAACTGGCTAAGATAGCGACGACTCTCGGAATGGTCCAATTCACCTAGTACAATGTTCCCGTCTCCCTCTTCATTCAAGAGTTTATGGAAGTAGGTCTGCCCTCTTCGTCTAATATGCTCCTTCTCCACCAATATCTTACCTTAGATATGAAAATGCAGCAAAAGTTAATTGTTTTAACAAAGTTGTAGATACAAGAGATACAAGTTGCTCATTCTGAAAAGTGTAAGGTGTTGCTTGTCGTCTTTCCATTTTTCCAGTTGAAACCTAACATTATCAATATATTATGGCGACCTTTTCATTCCTCAATCTCTAGTAGTTTTTATGTTTCCATTTTGGATCGTGATTCCAACAGAATTAAGTGCTAGCAATAACATTTATTTTGTTTCAGGTGCCAAAAAGGATGGAAGTAGCGTTCACTTCTTTTATCGCATTACCAATGCGTATTCAACTGGTAAACGTAAGCGTAGAAAGATAAGTGATGAAAATAATTTGATGAAAGAACATGTCCGTTGGCACAAGACTGGAAAGACCAAGATTGTGATGGAGAATGGACTCCAGAAGGGGTGTAAGAAGGTAATGGTTCTCTATCAAAACACTAAGAAGGGGTCGAAGCAGGAAAAGACTCATTGGGTAATGCATCAGTACCATCTGGGCACTGATGAAGACGAAAAAGAAGGTGAATATGTTGTTTCAAAAATCTTTTATCAACAACAGAAGCAATCCGTCAAGGCCAATGACTCTAGTGTCAATGAAGAAGCCAGTGCAGGAGCAAATCAAACTGGCCCTACAACTCCAAAGACGGTTACTCCTAATCCCCCTCGAGCCGGAGAAACCCCTTCCTGTGATGATTTTATCGATGACTCTTTATCCTTCTCACCTGATCAGGTTTGCATCTTCCTTATAATCTTCTATCATGGGATAATTACATTTTTGGGCCGCCCTAAAAATTGAAGTCGAAAAATGTATATATTTTGTATAATAGGTATAATTATACTTACATTATACATTTAATATACATAATCAGTGTGTATGTTTTGTATACTTGGCTAGCACCCTTAATTAATTTCGGCTGATGGGCCAAAAATGAATAAAAAAGCCCTTTTATCATTGGCTGTTCTGTACATTATTTTGGTTTTTACAGAATTGCAAGTATTCGACTCACAATTGCATACTTCCAAGTAATTGTATCTACCTATGTGCATTTTGCTAGATTTTCCGTACACTGATATTCATTTTGCTGTTTAGGAAGTGGAAGTTGCCAAAGAACCAGGGCAGTCTTCTGATGCTAAAGTTAAGTGTGAAGTGGAGTACCCCACATGTTTGGCTGGAGAATCACAAGGAGCTGATGCAAATGATGTTGATAATTCTCTGTTGTGTGATGAACTTCTTGCTTCTTATCTTGATAGTTTTGAACATAATCTTGGCTCTTCTACTGAATTCACTCATAACACTAGCCATTTATCACAAGGAAATGGTAACACAACCTGTGGAATTTCGGAGCTGGATAATTTAGAATTAGATACTCCTCCAGATTTCCAACTTGCAGTAAGTTTCATCTTTGCAGGTGCTAATGATCATTGTATTGTATGTATAATAATAACATCTATAGTTGACTATGATGTTGTGTTCTATGTAGGATTTGCCGTTCGGTTCTCAAGAGAGTATCTTTAGCTGGTTGGACCGGCAATAGAAATGATAAGAACTTTGCTGTTAACAGCAATGAGATAGTGCTTTGTGCATTCTGAGATCCAGAATCTATTTCAACAAGATTGCGTTCTTGAGTGGCTTCTGTTTTATGAAATGCTCATCTTTCCACCCGTCCTACAGTACACCAGAAGATGAAGAAGATGAGGAATCTGGAAAAAAGAAAAGAAAAAAATCGTTGTTGTATCCTATAATGCTGGAAGATGTACGAATCGAAGGAGTTGTTGAAAGAACCTGCTACGATCTATCAAGGATCTGCATTTGGGAGCTGGAACTGTTGAAGCTTCAAATATTGACATGGGTCTGATTTTCATTTAATGTGTTTATCTCTCTTGTTAAGACTTTCTCATGTTTTTTTGTTCTGTTCAACATGTTCCACTCCTCAAATGCTTTGTGTTTCTATTCCAGTATTTTTGTTGTAACTGTTGATTCTATTTGCTTTCTAATGCCTCTTTTGTTGTGTCTGACGCCATGCATTCTGATATGAAAGATATCTTGCTATTTGCAGATGTGCCTATGTATCCTTACATTTGCAAGCTTTGTGTTTCATTTCTACTCTTTTTTGTGCTTATATTTTTTAATGTCTCTGGAGAGCAATTAAAAGCTTTACATTCGCCAAAAAGTGCAAGTAGTACACGTTGAGGATAAGATGAGAAAATATTATTTGAGGTGATTTGTTCATGCATCAACCTATTGATGCATCGGTCCGTAGGTGTGAAACTATGATGGGGAATATGTTAAAAGAGGACGAGATAGAGCTAAAGTCATATGGGAAGAAGTTGTTCGGGAAAACCTGCCAAATCTTGAAATCAATGTAAACTTAGTTAAAGATATACCACTAGTTGGGAATCGATTGTAGACTTGGTAGACAACTTCTAATATTAATATTATTATTATTAATAATAATAATAATAATAATAATAATAATAATAATAATAATTTATTATAATAATAATAATAATATCTTTAAAAATTTTACTTTTTTATTTATTTTGATAATGATGATTATATGAGTTGAATTTAAAAAAGAATTGGAGATTTATATCGCCGATCCTACTTTGTTTGAAACTGAGACGTAGTTATTTTTGTTGATAAGTGAAAGAACTCAGGAATGTTATAAATCCAATATATGTGGATGTCTCTTCCAATGTATGTAGATTCTTTCCGTAACTGTCTTTGGGAATTCATGCACCAAATGAATGAGTTCATAAATACATGTAATTTGAGAAGACATTTTGAAATCTATAAATAGGATGTTATTATCCTATGGAAGAAACACACTTGAATAAGATAACTTCTGCCTTCTCCTTCTATATCTTGTCTCCATTATTCTATTTTGCTCTCATTTCTTAACACGTTATCAGCACGATTATTCTAACCAATTGAAATATTTACTTCAACCGGGTATTATCTTGTTCCTAAAGAGTTAGTCAATTTTCTTACAAATTCAAGTACATATCCATTTGCTTCTATCGTATTTGAATTTTATAAATCACTACATGCATGATTTTGCTTTGGATATACATGACTTGGTATAAAAAAAAAAAACCAGTAAGCTTTAATTTAAATTGTCATGCCAGCTTGTTCTAAGTTTAACCTTATGAAATAGGAAAGTATGCTATCATTACTTTGACATGATATTGAAAGAACCTTATGAAATATTAGGAGGAATTCTATTTATTGTTAGGTATAATATTTGATTTCTTTTATCTTTTGATCGTTGAAACTAGTAATCTTGATATTCGTGACATTCTTTAATGGAATAATAATGATAACATCCTGCTTTGCTTAATTCCAAAAGGTATTAGTTATTGAATCTTCGATATTTATATTTACGTAAGTTTGGACGATGACAAATATTAGTTATATGTAGCAAATCGAATGGGACTACTAGTTATAGTACATATGAATCAGTGTGTTGAAAGTAATTGGTGAATTTGCATGGAACGACTATAATATCTCTTTATTGTTTTAATGATTCACTACAGTTAATATGCCTTGATGACATGTGTATATTTATACCCAGAATATTTAAGGCATACTATTTGTTACAATTTTTTTTTATCATGTAGATTAATTCTACTATTCAGTAAGATAGTTTTATACTGTATTAAATTTATCAAAACTTGAATATGTGGCTATCTAAAATTATGTTTCATTCTCTAAAGAGAATGAGATAATTTGCGATAAATATTATATGAGCATAAGACAGTGGGTTCAAGTCCCACTGCACTATGACGGTAAAACACCAGGTTCAAGTCCCGATGCACCATGATGATAAGATGTTGGGTTCAAGTCCCGTCATATTATGGCCTATCACGTCTCATATGGGTAAGACATTGAGTTCAGGTCCCAATGGCCCATATTGATAATATAATAATGGCAATGTGAAAATGACACAGCTTAATAAAAAATCATGAAGTCTGCCCAGTACCGGATCAACTCCATTCCCAGAAGCGAATGTGATAGCGATAAATCAAAAGTCTGAAAGAAGACAAAATAATTATCATGGCCATATAAATATATGTGGGCATGGCAAGGGACGAAATAATAATCACCATGCTAGTGGTCGTTATAAACAAGAGAACAATAAGGGTTCTCAGAATAATCCTTCAAAAGGCAAAGGTAATAATGTCCATCGATATGGTATGAAAAATCATTGGGCACGAATTTGACCTACGCCTGAATATTTTGTCAAACTTTATCAAGCCTCTACAAAAGGGAAACAAAATAAAGTTAAGACTCACTCGACCTTTTTCAAAATGATGTTAAGGCGGGCCCTATAAATAATCATGATAAAGTTGAAGCAAACCTTGCCTATAAAGGTGATATTTTTGAAGGCCTTGCAGATATTACTCATTTAGAAGCTGGAGACTTCTTTGAGCATCATAACTAAAGACTTATTACTGGGGAAAATTATAAGAATAATTTTTTTTATTAAGTTCTTATTTTTGCATAACACGTTTTATGTTGTCAGTATTTACTTTCCTAAGTATAGTTTCTCTTGTTCTTAAATTTTTCAATATTACTTATGATGTATCTTTTTTCTTTTTCATTATGAAAACTTCCCAGTCTTCAGTTGGCCGTATGAATAATAAAGAAGAAATATATTTTCTGGATAGTGCTACGACGCACACCATATTAAAGAGATAAGAGATATTTCTCTTATTTAATTATGAAAGAAGCCAATATCATAACAATATCTGGTAGTACAAAATTAATTGAGGGCTCCGGAAGAGCGATTATTACTACCAGGAGGAACTATATTAGTTGTTAATGATGCATTATATTGTAGTAGGTCTCAAAGAAACTTGTTGAGTTTCAAAGACATTCGCCAAAATAGCTATCATATTGAGACCACCAATGAAGGAAAGATTGAATATCTTTATATTACTACAATAAAAGCGGAAAAGAAGTATGTTCTGGAAAAATTTCCCGCATTTTCCCCTGGATTATACTACACTAGTATTAGTATAGTCGAATCACATGCCATAGTAAACGAGGGTTTACTAATGATTTTATTATTTGGCATGACCGGTTGGGCCATCCCGGTTATAATATGATGTACAAAATAATTGAGAATTCACATGTACATTCATTGAAGAACTAGAAGATTCTTCAAACTAAAGAATTCTCTTGTGTTGCATGTTCTCAAGGCAAACTGATTATTAGACCATCAATAATTAAAGTTGGAGTTTAATCTCCTGCATTTTTGGAACGTATTCAGGGTGATATATGTGGGCCCATACACCCTCCACGTGGACCATTCTGATATTATATGATTTTGATAGATGCATCTACAAGATGATCACATGTGTGCTTGTTATCAACCCGCAATTTGACATTTGCAAGGTTACTAGCTCAATTAATAAATTAAGAGCACAATTTCCAGATTATGCAATTAAGACACTTCGTCTTGATAATGCCGATGAATTTACGTCCCAGGCCTTTAATGATTATTGCATATCAACTGGGATAACAATTGAGCATCTAGTTTCTCATGTTCATACTCATAATGGTCTATCGGAGTCATTGATCAAACGCTTCTAATTAATTGCTAGACCAATGCTTATGAGAACTAACTTCTCATTTTGGCATGGGGTCATGCTATTTTGCATGCAGCAGCTCTTGTGCGGGTTAGGCCCACAAGTATCATAAAGTCTCCCCAATACAATTAGCTTTTGGTCAGGAGCCAAATGTTTCCCATCTTAGGATATTTGGATATGCGGTATATGTTCCAATTGATCCACTACAACGCACAAAGATGAGACCCCAAAGAAGATTGGGGATATATCTTGGGTATGAATCTCCTTTTATTATAAAATATTTGGAACCTATGACTGGAGATTTATTTACGGCAAGATTTGCTGATTGCTATTTTGATGAATCAGTATACCCAACATTAGGGGGAGAAAATAAGCAGTTGGAAAAAGAGATAGATTGGAATGCATTATCACTATTTCATTTGGATCCTCGAACAAATCAATGCGAACACGAGGTTCTTAAAGATAATTTACTTACAAATATTGCAAATCAGCTGCGAGATGCATTCATTGACCTACCAAGGGTGACTAAGTCACATATTCCAGCCGCTGATGCTCCTATTCGAATTAATGTCCCGGCTGGACAATCTAAAAATACAAATGAGTCTAAGCCACGCTTGAAACGTGGTAGCCCAATCTGTTCCAAAGATAAAATCCCCGAAAGAGAAAAGGAGCAAATGATCTAGGGATCATAATATGGAGGCAATTGATCAAAAAGAGCCATGTGACATAACAAATGATAAGACCACAGAGGAGGTCCAGCTACCTGAAAATAATAAGAAAGAAGAGATCTCAATAAGTTATGTCTCTCTGCGGAAAAAATATGGAACCGAAATAATATTATTATCGACAATGTTTTTGGTTATAATGTTGTTGTTTAAGTAATGCAACAAGATGAGGATCTTGAATCAACATCTGTCGATGAATGTAGACAGAGAAATGATTGACCAAAATGAAAAGATGCTATCCATGCAAAATTAACTTCACTTGAAAAACGTGAAGTATTCGGACGTATAGTTCGAACATCTGAAGGAATAAAGCCAGTGGGATATAAACGGGTTTTTGTGCGAAAACGAAATGATAAAAATGAAGTCGTTAAATATAAAGCACGACTTGTGGCACAAGGATTTTCGTGAAGACCTGGCATTGATTATGTGGAGACATATTCTCCCGTGGTGGATGCAATCGCCTTCAGGTATCTTATAAATTTGACAGTCCATGAAAAACTTGATATGCGTCTGATGGATGTTGTCACAGCCTATTTGTATGGCACATTAGACAACAAAATTTATATGAAAATTCCTGAAGGGTTTAAAGTGCCTGAAGCTTATAAAGTTTTACGGGAAACTTGTTCAATAAAGCTTCAAAATCCTTATATGGATTGAAACAATCAGGGCGAATATGGTATAATCGCTTGAGTGAGTACTTGCTGGAAAAAGGGTATAAGAATGATCTGGTTTGTCCTT